GGTTGACACAGGAGCAACTCATAACTTCATTAAAATTGGGGAGGCCAAGCGGTGTTTCAAGCTTGAAAAGGGGCAAGGAAGGCTAAAGATAGTGCACTCGATAACCATACCTGTTGACAGCATAGCTCATGGAGTAGAGCTACATTTGGTCCACTAGAAGAGAGTACTAAATCTCTCAGCAATACCGATGGATGAGTGCGACATCATGTTGAGCATGGAATTCATGGGGCAATACAATGTGGCAGTAATGCCTCGCAGCAATTTGGTTTGCATAATAGATGTAGGTCCATTCATCATTTCTATAGTATTTGAATGAAAGTCTAATGTAATTCATCTATGTTTGAAGCAACTAGTGGGGGATGAAAATGTGGGAGCAAGGTTGAGCTACACTAGGAAGAAGAAGCCATTGGGTGATATCGCGAAGTCTATATGGGGGCAAGACCATGCAAATGGGAATTGGCAAAAAAGAGAAAAGGGGAGACGACATAGGCCTATGTCTACAAGCATTCAAAATTCGAGACAACTTCGTGAGTGTGATGGGGGAATCACACAATTAGGTGGGTGTCACACAATGGAGCTAAATACTAGAGACTTAACTCGAGAGTGAGATAATGACTATTGCATAGAATTCGTTTCAGTTCATTTGTAGTTGTAAATTTTTAAGTCACATATGAACACTAGTTGTGTCATAAACTTTCTAACCAATTTGAATTGGATTTAGCCTGTAATCATTCAAGTTGGTCATCTCTGAAACAGCTACGAGGATCAACATTTTGTATTTGTACATCTATACTTAAAACTATATTTAAGTTTTAGGTGTTTATATAAATGGTAGGAGGGTAATTCTGTAAAAAAATATTAACTCATAATAATGTGTATTCTAATGACTTATTAACGGTTCAGTAATAACATGAGGAGTTTTGTTGGTTTGAAAATCTCAAGGGTATTTTAGTTAGTACTTCAAACCTCAGAGGGCTCATGAAACTCCATTATTTATGTCATTAGTATTCATTATACACTAACTTAAAAGATAGAATTAATGACAAAAATCCCCCCTTGCTATGATTAAATGACAAATATTTCAATTAGTTTTCTAAAATGATTGAAAAAAGCCTTTATCATTAAGTTTTAATTGTTAAAATAAACCATAAAAAGGAAATTACATAGGTATTTTCTTGTGTTTTCTTTTTGCTGTCTCATTTACATTGTCAATAAAGTTCTTATACTCAGCCTGCCATCTTTGACTAATCCGCCTTACTTTTGTGAAATCGGCAAATTTTGTATTGATCCATAACCAAAGAAATTAAAGTAAAGTCGATGATCTATCAAAAACACTCAATCAGAAGTAAAGTTATATATAGAGGTTTAGGGTAATTTTCATCTTCATACAGAAATATTAGGTATGATGATTCCTTAACATTTCTTCTTGTTAGAATTTGAGTTGGGCCTAACTCCTCACCAAAATGTCTTATTAAGTGGGAGAATTGTCCACTCTTATAAACCCATTGGCTTAAGTGTGCCTAGTCGATATGGGATCTCCAACACTCCCCTTCACGGTCAAGCTCATATGGTCCACTTGCCTATGAATGGAGGTAGTTTGGTAGCCCACCGCTGGTCAATCACTCAACTCAAATGGGATTGGCTCTGATACCATGTTAGAATTTGAGTTGGACCTAACTTCTCCCCCAAAAGACCTTATTGAGTGGGAGGATTGTCCACTCTTAGTTCTAATATAGCTAGGAATCAATCCAAGTGATGATTTTAAGAAAAAAGATTGATTGAATTTACGGAAACCATGTTTAAATTTAAGCAAATTACAGGATTCATCTGGAAAATTTTCACGCAAAGTTGTCAAATCCGGATCTGAAACCAAATCTTATAAACTAAATCCGTGACTCATTTTCAGCAGCGATTTGAGATGTAACAAATTCCTCACCTTATAGACCTCGCTTCTTCATGAGGTCGTCACATCGGCCCTATTGGACACGGGGGCCCTTTGATATCAATTGTCAACTCTTGGGTCCCAAACAAGCCCTTACAAACTGATTACCAAATCCGAGGCTCAGTCTCCAGTTATGTAACGCAAGTGTTTCATTCTAAGCAGTTTCCATGTTCACAACTTAACATGAATATACTGCTTAGCGGCTATCATCAAGTATTGACTTGCTTATGGCATGTCATTGATTCAAAGATAATGGAGGGTGAGAACAGGATGAAATCAAACCAACAGTTCATCAACTTATATACAAACAAGATCATGATATACACATGGAATTCAAACTAAAACCAGTCATTTGCTAGCTTAAATTGTTTAAATTGTTTTTGTACTAACAATTTGTTCAGAAACTGGCCAACCTGATGAGCAATTACACTGTTCAATCAAAGTCTATTTAACCTTTAAAGTAACAAAGCCTGGTTCCCCTGTTAACTCCTCCTCTTTCTCTTTCTCTTTCTCTTCTGCTTCTTTCACAGCTTTCAATTTTGCTTCTTCTTTTGCCACTTCCAGGGCCTGGATTAAGCTTCTCAGGCTAAACTCCACATCAGGTGGAAATTTTTTTGGCATCAAATGCTCTGCAACATCAGCTGGTGTCAATTTTGTTTCTCGCAGCAATTCACTAACTGTTGCGAACAAATCATGTGAATCAATACTGAGGTAGTTCTTGGCAAGAACTTTGAATGCTTCAAAGCTACAATATGACAATTCTATATGCTTGTCCATTCTGCCTTTCCGAATTAGAGCTGGATCGAGCTTCTCTATATGATTTGTTGTGAACACTATTAATCTTTCACCCCCACAAGCTGACCAAATTCCATCAATAAAATTCAATAATCCTGAAAGAGTAACCTGGCTGCTTCTTGTCTCTCTTTCTTCTTTCTCAAGTTTCTGTCTCGGATCCTTCTCTGTGCTATGTCCCTCTTCTTCTTTATCCTTTTTCTTCCTCCTTTGGCCTGTAAGATCAAGTGAACAATCGATGTCTTCGATGACAATAACCGACTTGCTAGATGTTTCAATCAGTAGCTTCCTCAGTTCAGTATTGTCTTTGACAGCAGTGAGCTCAAGATCATACAAATCGTAGCCTAAAAGATTGGCCATGGCAGCAATCATAGTAGACTTACCAGTCCCCGGAGGTCCATACAAAAGATACCCTCTTTTCCAGGCTCTCCCAATTCTTGCATAGAAGTCTTCAGCCTTGCTGAACGTGATCAAGTCTTCAATAATCTCTTGCTTCTTCTCGGCTTCCATGGCAAGTGTCCGGAATGTTGCGGGGTGCTCAAATGTGACATGGCTCCACCTAGAACCATTGTTTGTGTAAAGCTTTCGCATCCGGTTTCTTACCTTGATCGCGTTGCCTTCTTTCAGGACATTAACAAGATAAGGCCCCAAGATGAGCTCCCTGTATCGCTTATGAAAAGTGAGCTTGTAGAATCTCTTTTCATCCGTCACAGGATAGAGAGAAAATACCTGAGACTTTGTTACGTTTTTCCCTGAATTCCACCACAATTTGACTCCCTGGAACTCATCAGAAACCTCTTCATAATCATCCATACTCAGCACAAGTGACTGATTACTGTTCTTGACAATATCAGCTTTGAGTCTCTTAGCTTGAGTAGAAGACTTGGAGCTCAGATAATTCTCAATCGCTGAGTAAGCTTCACTGCGCATGAAACGCTCACCTGTAAACTCATGAAATGTGATTTGAATATAAGGGTAGATGAAAGTGACCAATCTTTTTGAGTATTTCTCAACGGAACTTCTAAGTTCATAAGGAAAATATTGCTGAAATATTGCCCAGACAAACATTAAACAAGCCAAAACAGAACCCAGATGAGCGAACAAGTCTTTAGTGACATACATTTTTGAACTTCTGGGAAATTACAAGGAATTGTAAGGGTTATGTTGTGTTGAGTAAAGGGTTATTAATCTTGAGTGGCTTAAATAAGAACACTTGGGGTATCTTCTGCGTGAACACATTGCAGAATCTAATCTGAAATTGACTAGAGGTTGTCTGCTAGTCCTGTATCGGCTACAAATGGAAGGTGTCGTAACCGCGTTTATCCTAACAATCTTCTGAGCTAAGCAAAGTATTTTGAAAATTTTCACTTGTAGTTAATTTATGATTAAATATTCTGCAAAATCTATTAAAATTGGATTGTGGTATAATGGGGACCTGTACCATGAGATCATAGCACTGATGTCAAGGTGGTTCCTTTTAGATAAATTAGAAATAAAGTATTTGTTAACTTTGCAGGTTGAATTCTCAGTAGCATTCAAGATCAATTCTCCTCTCCTTTACCTTCCTTATTGTCGTTGACAAAACCATTCTCTTTCATAGACTTAGCTATAATATTGTAAAATATTTGAGATTCAATGAAGTAAAAGCAAATAGTGGCTCACAGGTTACAAGTCTCCACCAGTTCGAAAACCATTGTTGTTAAAATTTCTTCTTCCTATTTCTCTTGACCCCTTTTTACCTCATATTATCCCTAACCTCGTTAATTTTCCTCTAGTCATCAAGTGCAAGCCTTCCGAAAAGAGCATCTGTTGTAGCTTCAGATCTGTGCAAGGCGTCGTCCTTGTTTGACGGATCTTCCAGTTGTGTCTACAAAACAGAAAATTGAATTAAAAATAACAGCTGTGTTTAGAAATGGGACATTTAAATACAAAACAATTAAGACAAAAGAAAACAGCAAGAAGGTATGACAGTAAACCTGTAAGAATGACTTAAACAAAGGCACAATGATTGAACAATAATCAAAAGTAGATAACTTCTCAAGTATTTGTTCATATTTCTGTAACCCATCCCAACACCGCAAATTGCATCAAGAAAAGCCATCTGCAGGGATCAACATAGTGAGAAACAAATATGCATAAACAAGAATCAAAACAGTTGATAAGATTGTGTTGGCTAACTTGGATAGGAAAACTCACATCTCTAAGATGGTTCTTCTTCATCCTCCATATACCTAGTTTGATCCAATTGTCAGATTTTTGATAACCAGGAGGTCTCCTTATTTCTTCTTCTGCAAGCTCTTTAAAACATACAGATCGATAAAAAACAAGAGCTCGTAATGCTTCAGTCAAAACATCATATACAGAATCTGCCACAATTTTACTAGCAGTATCATTACAATCTACCAAGTGGATAACAGGGTCCCATAATGGTTCATGTAATGCTGTTCTACATGCTCGGGACATTGGTCCCTATTCTTAGTTTCCTGAAGACATATGTTGTCAAGAGTTTGAATTGCTTCCATCTTGCTTGAAAGCTCAGTTATTCTATAATTCGAGGTTGAAAAGTAGGCACATTCTTCACAAATTTCCCCAATAAGTTGTTCTGCTTTTCCTCTTTGAGACTTTCTTACACTTGTCCACAACTCTAAACATTTTCCAATCATAGGCACATCATATTTGTACACATCAATGCTGGAAGATTGATTGGTAATATTAAGCTGTTGCTCATCTAAAAGAAGACACGAGAAGTCATCACTAAAAGTTATCCTCTCTTTGATGCCAAGAGCACTACTGCTAAGCTCAACATCAACGAAGCCATCTACATCAGAATGTTCACTTGCTCCAAAAGTACGAGCCAGCAGTTTCAAGAATTCATGAAGTTCTTCTAGCTTAGAAGCTCCCAAAAAGCATATAATCTTAGGGGATTCCAGGCCATGACACCTAATCTGGGACGGCGAAATTATACCCTCAAACTGATGAATGGTATATTGTATCGCCAAATGAACAAGTCTAGCTGCAAAAGTCTTGTTGCTTTTGATCAGCGAGAGAAATATGCCACGGACTCTCTCAAGAGTCACTGCACGCTCAGCATCATCACATAACAGCCACTGCTCAGCATGCTCAGCATTATCGAGATGACTGACAATGATATTTACAGCAACGTCAGTACCCATAGGCTTCCACATACCATTCATAATCATCTCATTCCACTCTGCCCCAATTTCTGTTGCAAATATGGCTGGAAATTATTCAAATGCATCTTCCTAAAATGGTCCCGGTACCCTTGGCAATCGCTAAACTTCTCACTGCAAACACAACACTCTATGAACTTCCAAGTTTTATGTTGTTTAGCAAAACCTACATGTTGAAGAATAAAGACGAAGATGGTTAGCTGAGTCAGTTAGCTTTTATAACTGAGTTAGTTAGTTGTTAAGAAGTTAGTTTCAAGTAGTTATTAGTTTGTTATAATGTTAGTTAATTAGTTAAAACGGTTAGTGTTTGTTAAGTTGTTAAGTTTGTTGTAAGTTTGAGAATTTTCTTTAACAGCTTTGTTAACAAACACTTTAGCAACTCCAAAATCCATCTGTCTTTCTTGTTGCAAAACTAAAGAAAAAACTTTGTTGATTGGAGTAAGTGGATCCATGANCATCCAGACCTCATTAAAAACCTTTCAAACTCTAGTATATTCACAGCTTTTGTAGCACAAGTTTCTATAATTACTGCTTCAATGTTCGTCTTCCACTTTTTCAGTATCATCAAATCTCTAATTATTGCTTCAATCTTCGATTTCCTCTCTTCAAATCCTGGATTACTAGTTGTAGTTTCAGTGTATGTTCCTTATTAGGATAAAGACGACGGTCAATAATAAAGACGACGGTCAATAACAGGTAACATCTCAGCCAATCGTTGCCTAAAACCCTGAAAGCCTGGAATTTTAAAGTTTGACATTTTAAAAATAATTGGTAACTCATCTTTGTTCTTGGTCGAGCGTGCTTTAATCTCAAGCATCCAATCTTCAGGCTCACACCAGGACAAAGAAAGCAGAGCAGCCTCAAAAGTATGCAGTACAGAGCATAAACTTGCCTCCTTCAGCAGGAAGAGTTCATCAGAATTTTTTGCTGATTACTGAACCGAACGATCTGATGATTCAACGGCGGAGACAGCGACGGTGGTGGTTGTTTTCCCAAAAATTCATCAGAAATTTCGGTTGCCTTCTAAACAGAGATTGTCTGATAACAGATTCCGGTAATTCAACGGGTGCAGGTTGCTTGGAACGTCTTTTCTTGCCCATATTTCTTTTGTTAAACGTGGAGATTTTCCTACACACTACAGTTTTAGGGTTTTAGTTAAATAGGTTGGGTTCCCCGTCCTAATTGGGTTTACCCAATTCTAACCGAATTGAAATTGCGGGTAATTAAATGATTTCAATTGAAAGACAAATTTTCCACCTAAGGGTTCTAGGGGACGAAATAAAAACATTTAAGTTGAATTAATTGCTTGAAATAATTTTTTTTTTCAATTTTATCCCTAATTAATTTTTTTTTCTTTTCTGCCCTTGAAATTTTAATTATTTTATTAGTTTATAATTAGAAAAATATTAAAAAAACAATTAAATTATTGTTCTCTCCTCACCATTACTATCATTAAATAGCTATTGCCATGTAATTATTGTTGGTCAATGTCACTCATTGTCGATGACAGTTCGTCATGCTGTTAGCGTAATTGGTTATTGGTTAATGTTATTTATCGTTAACGATTGTTCGTCACGATGTTAACACGTCAAAGAGTAATGACTGACGATTTATCGATCTGAGTGAATCTTGACCATAAAAAGTTCACATTATAACGTCATATACGTCAAAAAAAAAAAACCATGTGATTATTGAAGATACATGACTCCTTTAATTAAACACTTATCAAACAGTTTTACTCTTAAAATCGAAATAATGAAGTTGTCCTTAAATTTTTTTTTAATAATCAAAATAATGGCTTTTTCTGTTGATGTTTGCTGCTATCTTCAAAGAGAAAAAACTCATCAAAGTTTGTCTTTGGGAGGTGGCCAAGTTGTATTCGGCTTGGGGCCTTTGTGGGCTGATGACCGAGTGGTTTAGAGATAGGCTTTTTGGGATTTTAAGTTGGTTCTGGGCCATCATCTTTGTCTGTCTTTTTCCTTTGGGTTACTTTGGGAGTTGCAGGTGGGCTGTAAGTGGTGGCCTTTCCTCCTTCTTGGGCCGTGTGCTGGCGGTGGAGTTTAAGGCCTGGTTTTTATTTGGGCTTTGTTGTAGAGGATTGTATATCCTTCTGTCTCTTGACCTTTTTTGTTGAGCTCTTGGGCCTGTCCAAGTTGCTTGAATAGTCTGAACGGTAGTCCCCTCAAGTGAGTGTATTTTTTTTATACAATTACCGGGTTTGTCCACAAAAAAAAAAAAAAAAAAAAAAAAAAAAAAAAAAAAAAAAGAAAAGAAGGGTTTGTTTCCCCTTGTGAGTTTTCTAAAATAATAATATATATATAAACAAACTTTCAAATCATACCACCCAAACTGTGCTTCCGTTTACTCTGCTTAAAGTGTAGTTTATTTATTTACCTATTTTTATTGCTGATTTATTGTTAGTATTTTGTTGTAAATGTTGAAGTCCATTTAGGTATACTTTATTTATTTACTTATTTTTATTGATTATTTATTGTTATTTTGCTTTAAATGAGCTGTTGTTTTACTGTCGTGATTTTTTTTTTAAATTATTTTTAAGATATTTTAGTGAGGAAAAATCTGAGCGAAATCGCAAATGTTATTTTTATAATTACTGGTTAACAGACATGGAACAAATAGATTAATAATGTTTGATATTTTGTAGTTTAGAATTGATCTAGATGATTTCTTCTTATAATATAGTACATTGAAATTTACATATATTTCAAGCCTTCCTATCGAATTAACGTGGGACTAGATCCTCCACCAATTGTTAAATTTGAATATCCTCTTGAACTTGTGATATCGAAAGGGATAAGAGAAACTTTTTATAAATGTGATAGACAAAACCCCAAGATGGCGTTAAATGTCATGATAGAGCTATTACAAGTTCTATGTGGTTTGCTTAGGTATTCTCATAAACCACTAACCGAACCGAAAAATTTGTTTTTGTATTTCTTTAAAACAAAATCTAACTAGTTTTTAGGATAACCGAAAAACCAATTCGATTTGGTTTTTGCATTTATTTGAACACTCTTACAACCATTGATACAACATATGCACGAATACAATTATGTATTTCCACCTATAGTGGAAGATGGTTAGAGCAATATTGGATTGGATTTCTTCCACAAAATTTAGGTCCATGGATTTTAAACTTACCTCTCATGTGGGACTTGAATTCAAAGAAAGGATTACATTTTCTTCAGACTCGTCTACCCTTATGTTGGATATGCGATTGTTAATGGGAGAAGATGAGTCCATTGGTTCACATATCAACTTATCATGGCTCTATCAAGAACACACAATTAAANTCATAATCATCCATGCTCAGCACAAGTGACTGATTATTGTTCTTGACAATATCAGCTTTGAGTCTCTTAGCTTCAGTAGACGACCTGGAGCTCAGATAATTCTCAATAGCTAAGTAAGCGTCACTGCGCATGAAACGGTCACCTGTAAACTCATGAAACGTGACTTGGATATAAGGGTAGAAGAAAACGACCAATCTTTTGGAGTGTTTCTCAAAGTATTCCCGAAGTTCACAAGGAAAATATTGCCGAAACATGGCCCAAACAAACATCATACTAGCAAGAACTGAACCCACATGAGCAAACCAGTCTTTAGTGGCTTCCATTCCTGAGCTTAATGCGGTTTTTGTGTTGTGTTGAGTTAAGCGTATATTTGAGTGGGTTAAATAAGCACACTTGGGCTATCTTCCATGTGAACGCGAATTGACAGGTGGCTTCGTCTACGAGTCCTGCTGAGTCAGCTACCGTATTTTCAGATAAGTTTGGACTTGTTGAAACGTGAAGAAAACACTTAGCAGAGTGTCCAGGACTTTGAACTCTGACACATTGGTGACATGTACCATGATAGCTCAGCCTCTGATGTAAGGGTCATTTTATAGAGGTGAGTGCTTCCGAGTACCCTGTATTTTTTGGAGGAATCAAAACCAGAACCACATAGTGCAGGTTTCCAAAAAAAGGAAGCGAAACCGGAACCACACAGTGTAAGTTCTTCAATTCAAGGAACTGAAATCTAAAATGCAGGTTTCGGTTCCTTTCCAGGGTACCCTGTAAAAAATCAATTACCCCTCTATTAATTTAAAAAATAACAAAAATACCTTATAAGTTTACAAATACACCCCTAACAAATTTTCATTATTCATTCATTTGAGTCAAATGTAACTCATAAACTGTAATCTCTAAGCAACACTTGAATTGTTAATCATTTAATTAAGTATTGTAATATTGTTTATAATAGAATGTTATAATTAATTAAATAATCATACCATAAATTTATAATATAATGTTATAATAATTTGATTAAGTATNCGAAGTCTTATACTTAAGGTTTTATTTGTGGTTGTTAGATCTGAAGCAGCTGTCATTAGAAGAGATAAGTTTTGAGGACATTAAGAAGGTTGTAACCTATCTATAGGTTAATTTATTGTTCCTCTTCATTTCCCTTATGCATCTTTAAATTATTATGTCACAACATTGCTTTCTTATTTTCTCTTCTCCTAATGTTTCCATAAGGATATAGGGATACCAACTGATACATCAGAGGATGCATTTTTGGTAACATATATAATTTCATGTGGTTATTGAGGTTTTTTTTCGTAACTATTTTTTCATGTTTATGTAATTGTGTGTTTATGAAACCGTTTGTTAATAATGTGCTATGTTGCAGTCCCCATTTAGGCTAAGAAGCCTTGGGAAATTTGGTTGTATTCATGACATATTATAAGCACATTATCACACTACTTCCCTTTATTTTATCTGTATATTACTTGTCTTCAAAGAGTTGGCTCAGGAGCTTATTGCAGTAGCTAAATGTGGACTCCTACCGGGAAGTTATGAGGTTCCTAATGTCATGTCAAACCCAAATTCAAAAATCCATTAGACCTAATCCATGGTGGGAGTCCTAGATAAAAAAAGTATCTGAAGAATATGTCAAGAAGCTTCTAAGATGCTCTAGAATATTCCTTACCCAAATAGACAGCAAAATAAGATTAAGATTCATATTTTAATATGATTAATCTTGGCCATCCAATCTATTGGATTTGTATGAATCTGAATTGTCAAATCTATTTGTAAAACTCCTATATAAAGCTAGCTAGTGTTAGATTATTTTCATTCTAAGAATTATATTATTTTGAGAGCTTTAATGATATAAGAGATTTTTCTCTCCATCTCTTTCTTTCGATATTTTTATATTTTCTTGAGTTCTTTGTGTGTTTTCAGGCTTACTTAGAGTCAATCATCATTGTTTGTGCTCTAAAGTCACATGATTGTTTAGGGTTGATATAGTTGGTATAACAACCAAGTTTAGATCTTAAGAAAGGAGAGCCACGGTTGATGAAAATAACATGATTGATGTAAGTTTGGTGCAAAAAGAGGCATACAAGCAAGGGATGAAACCCTGTGGCCACTCGAAATCTCACGATGCATAAGGATCCATGGAGATCAAAATGGTCTAGATGAAGCTAACTTTGGCTAATTTTCTTGAAAGGCAAGATCGCCTATAACAATTGTGGAAGAAGTCGATGGCAAGATAGACACGCAATTGGAGGAGTGCTACTAGTCCATAGAGATATAGTTGGAAAGTTTTGCAAGTCCATACTTGATGCCATTAATAGAAGGCTCATAAAACAGAGTCGGGAGAACGTAGATTTCAACAAAGCTTTCGAGGGGAAATTATTTGAAACATTTGCCAAGCATCAAGAGCAAGTAGATGACATGACATGGGGCTTGAAAGAAATTTGACTAGGTTAGGCAATTTGCAGAAAGGCAATGACTAATAGCTTAATCGTGATTAGACCACTATGTCCAGCTCCAAAAGTGAAGACGCCAAAATCTAAGAAGTTTAGTGGTAAATGAGATGCCAAGGAGCTAGACAACTGTATATGGAACATGGATAGATACTTTGACACAATAAGTTGTTCGATGAAAAGGAAAAAGTAAATCTAGCTACTTTTTATCCTTTTGACCTTAGAAAGAGCTAGTGGTTTTGAAAGTTTGTAGAAATCCAAACAGAAACTTGCATCATGGATACTTGGAAGGATCTCACAAGAGAATTGAAGCAACAATTCTATTCATAGAACATATCTCATGATGCTAGGAAGGATGAATGAATTGAAGAATGCATGCTCTATTAGAGAGTATTGGAAGACTTTTCTATGCTGATGCTGCATATTAATGACATGAGTTAGTTGTTCTTCTCTTTAAATTCATGGACAGGTTGTGACCGTGGGCTTCCAAAGAGTTGCAAAGGCGAGGAGTGAAAGATGTGGTTGTTGAGATTGTGGAGCCAAATTCAATCCAAATTAGTGTTATAATAGACCATGGGTTTTCCTAATATGTTTTTATGTAGAATTGTTTTTCCTTTAAGAATACAATTAGGAATAAGATTATGATTGTATTAGGAATTAATTAAATTCCTATTAGGATATGAGATTTGAGTCTTATTAGGAATAATATCCTATATATTACTTATAAAAAGGGTTTAAGTCCTAGAGTTAGTTATATACAACAAGAGAATAGAAGACAAAGCCACAATTAGAGAGTGAGAGCCGCGAAAGAGGGTTTAATGAGTGAGCCAATTTGTGAGGCTTGTGAGAGACTCTTATATTTTTTCCTTCTTCTTTATAGTGAAATTCCGCAGCGGCAAAATGGACGTAGTTTCATACAAAGAGTGAACCACTATAAATCTTATGTTTGTTTGTGGTTATTTATTTGTCCTTTGTTCGCTTTATTTTTGCTTTCATAGGGATTTAGGATTTGCTAGCATCAAATTAAATCCCCACAACAACTATTAACGCACTTACCACTGTAGAAACATTAGAGGATTTTTAATAGGGTAAGTACTTGAAGACTAATAACTCCAAGTTTGAGCAAGAAGATAGTGAGGGAGGGGGTTCTCTGCATCATCGTCCAAAGAAGGATCGAATGATGGAGAGAGAAGCAAGTGGAAACCAAGCCATAGGTGTTTTCATTGCAATAGGGATAATTGATTTAGTGATTGTCCACAAAAGAAAGCATTAAACGACATGCTTGCGGAACATGAGACTCTAGAGCATGCATAAATGGGTAGCCTACAACTTCTCAAATCCCTACGAGTTCTACACCTCTCAAGCTGACAGACAACTCTTTGATGCACTTAGGTGCATAGGTGGATGGTAAGAGAGCTAAAGTTATGGTTGACACAGGAGCAACTCATAACTTCATTAAAATTGGGGAGGCCAAGCGGTGTTTCAAGCTTGAAAAGGGGCAAGGAAGGCTAAAGATAGTGCACTCGATAACCATACCTGTTGACAGCATAGCTCATGGAGTAGAGCTACATTTGGTCCACTAGAAGGGAGTACTGAATCTCTTAGCAATACCGATGGATGAGTGCGACATCATGTTGAGCATGGAATTCATGGGGCAATACAATGTGGCAGTAATGCCTCGCAGCAATTTGGCTTGCATAATAGATGTAGGTCCATTCATCATTTCTATAGTATTTGAATGAAAGTCTAATGTAATTCATCTAAGTTTGATGCAACTAGTGGGGGATGAAAATGTCGGAGCAAGGGTGAGCTACATGCACTAGGAAGAACAAGCCATTGGGTGATATCGCGAAGTCTATATGAGGGCAAGACTATGCAAATGGGAATCGGCAAAAAAGAGAAAAGGGGAGACGACATAGGCCTATGTCTACAAGCGTTCAAAAGTCGAGACAACTTCGTGAGTGTGATGCGGGAATCACACAATTAGGTGGGTGTCACACAATGGAGCTAAATACTAGAGACTTAACTCGAGAGTGAGATAATGACTATTGCATAGAATTCGTTTTAGTTCATTTGTAGTTGTAAATTTTTAAGTCGCATATGAACACTAGTTGTGTCATAAACTTTCTAACCAATTTGAATTGGATTTAGCCTGTAATCATTCAAGTTGATCATCTCGGAAACAGCTACGAGGATCAACATTTTGTATTTGTACATCTATACTTAAAACTATATTTAAGTTTTAGGCGTTTATATAAATGGTAAGAGGGTAATTCTGTAAAAAAATATTAACTCATAATAATGTGTATTCTAATGACTTATTAACGGTTCAGTAATAACATGAGGAGTTTTGTTGTTTTGAAAATCTAAAGGGTATTTTAGTTAGTACTTCAAACCTCAGAGGGCTCATGAAACTCCATTATTTATGTCATTACTATTCATTATACACTAACTTAAAAGATAGAATTAATGACAAAAATCCCCCCTTGCTATGATTATTAAATGACAAATATTTCAATTAGTTTTCTAAAATGATTGAAAAAAGCCTTTATCATTAAGTTTTAATTGTTAAAATAAACCATAAAAAGGAAATTACATAGGTATTTTCTTGTGTTTTCTTTTTGCTGTCTCATTTACATTGACAATGAAGTTCTTACACTCAGCCTGCCATCTTTGACTACTCCGCCTTACTTTTGTGCAATCGGCAAATTTTGTATTGATCCATAACCAAAGAAATTAAAGTAAAGTCGATGATCTATCAAAAACACTCAATCAGAAGTAAAGTTATATAGAGGTTTAGGGTAATTTTCATCTTCATACAGAAATATTAGGTATGATGATTCCTTAACATTTGTTCTAATATAGCTAGGAATCAATCCAGGTGATGATTTTAAGAAAAAAGATTGAATTTACGGAAACCATGTTTAAATTTAAGCAAGTTACAGGATTCATCCGGAAAATTTTCACGCAGAGTTGTCAAATCCGGATCTGAAACCAAGTCTCATAAACTAAATCCGTGACTCATTTTCCAGCGATGTGCGATGTAACAAACTCCTCGCCTTATAGACCTCGCTTTTTCATGAGGTCATCACATCGGCCCTATTGGATGGGGGGCCCTTTGATATCAATTGTCAAATCTTGGGTCCGAACAAGCCTTATAAACTGATTACCAAATCTGAGGCTCAGTCTCTAGTTATGTGCCACAAGTTCATGAACACAACTTAACATGAATCTACTGCTTAGCGGCTATTATCAATTATTGACTTGCTTCTGGCATGTCATTGATTCAAAGATAATGGAGGGTGAGAACAGGATGAAATCAAACCAACAGTTCATCGACTTATATACAAACAAGATCATGATATACACATAGAATTCAAACTAAAACCAGCCATATTTGCTAGCTTAAATTGTTTATATTGTTTTTGTACTAACAATTGGTTCAGAAACTGGCCAACCTGATGAGCAATTACACTGTTCAATCAAAGTCTATTTAACCTTTAAAGTAACAAAGCCTGGTTCCCCTGTTAACTCCTCCTCTTTCTCTTTCTCTTTCTCTTCTGCTTCTTTCACAGCTTTCAATTTTGCTTCTTCTTTTGCCACTTCCAGGGCCTGGATTAAGCTTCTCAGGCTAAACTCCACGTCAGGTGGAAATTTTTTTGGCATCAAATGCTCTGCAACATCAGCTGGTGTCAATTTTGTTTCTCGCAGCAATTCACTAACTGTTGCGAACAAATCATGTGAATCAATACTGAGGTAGTTCTTGGCAAGAACTTTGAATGCTTCAAAGCTACAATATGACAATTCTATATGCTTATCCATTCTGCCTTTCCGAATTAGAGCTGGATCGAGCTTCTCTATATGATTTGTTGTGAACACTATTAATCTTTCACCCCCACAAGCTGACCAAATGCCATCAATAAAATTCAATAATCCTGAAAGAGTAACCTGGCTGCTTCTTGTCTCTCTTTCTTCTTTCTCAAGTTTCTGTCTCGGATCCTTCTCTGTGCTATTTCCCTCTTCTTCTTTCTCTTTTTTCTTCCTCCTTTGGCCTGTAAGATCAAGCGAACAATCGATGTCTTCGATGACAATAACCGACTTGCTAGATGTTTCAATCAGTAGCCTCCTCAGTTCAGTATTGTCTTTGACAGAAGTGAGCTCAAGATCATACAAATCATAGCCTAAAAGATTCGCCATGGCAGCAATCATGGTAGACTTGCCGGTCCCCGGAGGTCCATACAAAAGATACCCTCTTTTCCAGGCTCTCCCAATTCTTGCATAGAAGTCTTCAGCCTTGCTGAACGTGATCAAGTCCTCCATAATCTCTTGCTTCTTCTCGGCTTCCATGGCAAGTGTCTGGAACGTTGCAGGGTGCTGAAACGTGACATGGCTCCACCTCGAACAATTGTTTGTGTAAAGCTTTCGCATCCGGTTTCTCACCTTGATCGCGTTGCCTTCTTTCAGGACATTAACAAGGTAAGGCCCCAAGATGAGCTCCCTGTATCGCTTATGAAAAGTGAGCTTGTAGAATCTCTTTTCATCCGTCACAGAATAAAAAGAAACCACCTGAGACTTTGTTACGTTTTTCCCTGAACTCCACCACAATCGGACTCCCTGGAACTCATCAGAAACCTCTTCATAATCATCCATGCTCAGCACAAGTGACTGATTATTGTTCTTGACAATATCAGCTTTGAGTCTCTTAGCTTGAGTAGACGACTTGGAGCTCAGATAATTCTCAATAGCTGAGTAAGCGTCACTGCGCATGAAACGGTCACCTGTAAACTCGTGAAACGTGACTTGGATATAAGGGTAGAAAAAAACGACCAATCTTTTGGAGTGTTTCTCAAAGTATTCCCGAAGTTCATAAGGAAAATATTGCCGAAACATGGCCCAAACAAACATCATACTAGCAAGAACTGAACCCATATGAGCAAACCATTCTTTAGCGGCTTCCATTCTTGAGCTTAATGCGGTTTTTGTGATGGTTATGTTGTGTTGAGTAAAGGGTATATTCGAGTGGCTTAAATAAGCACACTTGGGCCATCTTCCATGTGAATACAGTACAGAAAGAGATCCGAAATTGACCAGTAGCTTTGTCTGCTAGTCCTGCTGAGTCAGCTACCGAATCTTTTGAGATAAGCAAAGTGGGTCGTAAAACTTTTTTGAACTTGTTGAAACGTGAGTAAAGCACTTAGCACTAGTTAGCAGAGCTTTCCAGGACATTGAACTCTGACACATTGGTGACATCTACAATGATAGCTCAGCCTCTGATGTAAGGGTCATTTAGTCGTTAATTAATAGTAAAATATTTCTATCAGTTGGAAAGAACAAGAGAGAGGATAAAGGCTAGATTCATTGCCATTCAATTTCCTTCTAGTGTTTTCTTCGTGTCATTCACTCAGGTAAAATATATTCAGCCTGCCATCTTTGACTCTACCTCATTTTTATGCGACCGCCATAACTATTATATTCGACAGCCAAAGAAATTAAAATTGTTCATCTTTGTAAAAGACAATAATAGTAAATTACATAAAGCAGTAAATAAAGCACTATTAAAATAATCACTTTCATTGACAGATGTGGACTGCGAAATATAGCTTTCATTCATGTTGAAATCTGTAATATAGATAGTGAAGCTCAAGGTAAGTCCCTTTCAGTTTCAACCCATGATTTCCTCGTTGGAAATGAAATTGGTAATAGGTAAGAGATAAATTTACAATATCTTGATAATAGGTCCGGGTGTTTCGGAAACGTTTTATTGTTTTTCACATAACGTAAACCATTTTTTATCTTCAAAACAGAATAGGTTCGATCAAGGGCAGAGCTATGTGTTGACTTCACCGCCACCCTAGGTCCCACGATATTTTTCTTAAATATCCTTTTTACCCCTTTATTTTCTGAAATTCACTTTTAACCCTTTAATGCAACAAAACATCTCCTATATTTATTAATTTAGCGAAATACCCCCTACAATAAAACATTAAAAATTAACAAAAACACCCACACCCACCCATAAAATGCCGGCAGCCGGCCACCGGAGGGTGGATGGAAGTTGCCGGAATGGCGCACGACTGGCTAGATTTGGCTGGTCGTGTCCCAATCTAGCATTTTTTGTCTAGATCCACCATGGATCTGGTTGGAAAAGACCAAATCTACTACCAAATATTTGGCTATTGACGGTCACTCTACGGCGGTGGTGGCTGACATCTAGCATTTAATGGGTGGGTTGGGGTGTTTTTGTTAATTTTTAATGTTTTATTGTATGAGGTATTTAGCTAAATTAACAAACCTAGGGGGTTTAAAAATCTAAATATTTGAGTTGAATAGAATATGATTGGATTTTGAGAATATTGAAACAAATATGTATTTTGGATATGATAGGAACAGGGAAACAAACACATCCTAAATTTTTTAAAAATTGAGTGGGGACTATGATCCCCACTCGTCATTCATTCGATCCACCACTGACTAATATTTCACTCTTATGCAATTGACACTATTTATATTCCACAGACAAAGAAAAATCAAAGCTACCCACACCCATGGGTAGCCCGGTGGTAAGGGCGAACCAAGAGGATTGTGGAGTTGTGCATGGTTTCAAACCATAATCTCAGGTTCAATTCCCCGCTGGACGCAAAGGTAGCACATAATATATTAATATTTCTCCTTAATTTTCATCTCGAAACTGAATAGGTTTGCGACAACATACATGTTAAGTACCTTTTTGTAAGGTGCTTTCACTCAAAACCTTAAATACCAGAAGTTCCCAATAGCATTGAACTTGTCACCGTTGGATATCGAGGAGCAATAAAACTAATCATAATCATGCACCTTCACCCCTCTTATTTGTTTAGTTTTTTTGTTGGGTACCCTAGAAGATTAGTTTCACTTCACTGCAACCATTTCTTGAGAAATTTTTCTGTACTTTGAACAAGAACAAGGACCATCTACATGAAAACAACTTAACAGAATCTACTGCTTAAAGGCTATAATCAAACAGTGACTTGCTTCTTCAATGTCACTGATTCAAAGATGATAATCAGCTTAAAACAACTTCTTTGGCAATGAGTGTAAGGACCAAAGTGAGTGAAATTATACCTAAATTTTTATTCTAGTTCTGAAATCCTGTTGCTTGACTCCCTGGTAACGTTAAAGATCAATTCCCCCCTCTGTAGCCTTCATTATCTATGAAATATTGCTCATTAAACGAATTTTATATCAGCTCTTCACTATAAATCACTTTAGAGCTTTCTATCAAACATCAAAAAAAGGTCCTACACATAAATGTACAAACCACAGGATGGGATAAAATTTTATATACAATTAATAAAACTTGACCATCTGAAGTTATAAGAATGATGTGAAAAAGGGAACAAGGAAACTTCAGCAAAGGTTCCAATAGCATTATTATAAGAGTGATTTTGGCTCAAGTTACACCTTTTTTTTTTTTTTTTTTTTGGCTGTCCATTCAGATTGTCACTAACTCAATTATATGAACATATATTTGCCTGTCATCTTTGAATAATATCTCACTCTTATGCAAGTGGCATTATATATTCCAGAGACCATGAAAAACTAAAGTTGATCATGCAAGAAATAGACAGAATCAGAAGTGAATTACACATAGTCTTCTTAATTTATCTCGAAACTGAATAGGTGTGCAAAAACACACTTGTCAAGTACTTTTTTGAGTGCTTCATTCAAACCTAGAGCATAGAACCTGGCACTGTTGGATAGTAGAGAAATAGTTTAAGAATTCAGAATCATGCATCTTCACCCCTCTAATTTATTGTTTTGTTATGTCCCCTAGAAGAGAATTGAAGCTAAATATGCACGAACAAGGGCCATGGCAAGAACAAAACTCAAGGAACTGACGGGGGCTAGAAAACAAACAATAGGAATCTACTGCTCAAACTTAAAGAGTATTAACAATTTAGTTGCTTTCGCAATGTCACCGATACAAAGTTATTATAGAATCCCTCGGCGATTCATTTGGTTGACTCTCTCATCCATTTTGTTGATCAGCTGTAACATTAGTTGCAGCCTGGTGTGCCTATCAGCAGAAAGCCACAACACAAAAATAAAATGAAAATAAACACTATATGACAAATGAGAGAAAACACTATATGAAAGATACATGTAGTCTAAAATTCAGTGAATTTATATGTGAATCGTAACTTTTCGTTTTCCTAACTGTAGTAATCTGCAACACTTGCATAAAGATAGAAGATAAATTCAGAATGAATACAATAAAATCAAACCAACAACATTTTATTGACTTATTTACAAACAATATCATGATTTACACACACAATACAAACTAAAACCAATATAGCCTTGCTGCTAATAAGCTCCAGCATATTCACAATAAACAACCACTGCTGATCATCCTCATTTACAGACATTATGTCCAAATCAATCTAATAGCTAGCTTGCTGCTAATCAGCTCAAGCTGTCATCCTAGCAACATCACTGTGCAATTCAGTTGCTATTCTGCAAGTTGTACAATATATTACACAACCATGATAGCCACACTATTTACCAAATTAAAAGATATATCCAAGCCTTCACAAGTTGTGAAACCATTGTTGGTCGAATTCTCGGTAGCATTCAAGATCAATTCTCCCTCCTTTATCTGCCTTTTTGATGAACCTCTCTTCACAGGCTTGGCTGAAGTTTCATCACCTTTCACATTCTCCTTAGCAGAATCAGTACACTTGTCCTCCTTTTCTCTTCTTTCTCTGCCTTTGAGCGCACTTCTTCCTCAGCTTCTTCCTGTTCTCCTTCACCGCAGAGAGCTTCAATCAGATTCTTCAAACAAGTCTCTGCATCATCCTCATCAGACTTTGGCATCAAATTCTCTGCTACATCTGCAGGAACATATTTGTTCTGCCAACTGATTGTCAACTTCTGCAAACAGCTCATGTGAGTCAATATCTAAATAATTCTTGGCTAGCACCTGAATGTTTCAAAGCCACAATAGGACATTCATAAACGCTTGTCCATCCTTCCTCTCCTGATAGCTGCTGGATCAAGTTTGTCCACATAATTAGTAGTGAACACATGACCCTTTCTCCCACCCACGCTGACCAGAGGCCATCAATGAATTCAAAAGCCCTGATAAAGTAACCTTACTTTCTTTGCTTTCATTCCTTCTTTTTCAGTGCCTTACACAAAAGTTTCTTAAGTTACATCTCGAAACCGGCTGGTTTGCAAAACACACATGTCAACTACTTTTTTAAGGTGCTTTCATTCAAACCTTAAAACGAATTTCTTGAAATTTACCTATTAATACAGAAAGTTTCCTAAAGCATAGAACCTGTCACGTTTGAATATCTGGCAGAAAAAGATCAGATTCAGAATCAGCATCTTTACCCTCCTATTTATTTATTTGTTTTGTTGGGTCCCCTGGAAGAAAATTGGAACTCAAATTCTTATGCAAGTGTTTCATACTAGGCAGTATCCATTTCTTGGGAAATTCTTTTATACGAGTACAAGAACAAGGGTAACTATAGGAATCTACTTTAAAGACTATGATAAATTAGTTATCTGCTTCTGCAATGTCACGGATTCAAAGATACCGACAGAATCTCTTTGGTTTGATTCATTGGACTGCCTCATCAGTTTTTTTGGATCAACCTTAACGTAAGTGTTGCCTGCAGGTTTAATAGAGAGAAAATCCACAACTGAATAAACTCTTAAACACTCATAGATAATGTACAGTAGTTCTGAAATCTTTATGCTTGAATTTGCTATAGCATTAAGATCAATGTTCCCCTCTTCGGCCTTCCTTATCGATGAAAACCATTCTCTTCCAAAGGATTACATAACCCTTCACTGTGTCAAATATTCACAGGAAGTCCTGCACTAAATGCAAAAACTACAGAAGGGGTGAAATATTTTATAAAATAAAAAAACTTGGACCTTCGATTTTCCAAGAGTGAAGTAAGAAAGGGAGCATGGAAACTTCAGCAAAGATTCCAAAAGCATTTTAAGGGTGATTTTGGAT